ACCATATGAACCCGATTTTAGTGAAACAAAAATTCCAACAAAAGCTAGACCTATCCAAATGAATACTGAATTACTCCAAACATGTCATAATGAAATTAAAGATCTACTTCAAAAGAAGCTTATTTGTCCAAGTTTATCACCATGGAGTTCCTTTGCTTTTTATGTCAATAAAAATGCCGAACAAGAACGTGGAGTTCCACGATTAGTCATAAATTATAAGCCTCTCAATAAAGTCTTACAATGGATTAGATATCATATTCCCAATAAAAAAGATTTATTAGATAGATTATTACATGCTATCATCTTCTCAAAATTTGATTTAAAATCAGGATTCTGGCAAATACAGATAAAAGGAGAAGATAAATATAAAACAGCTTTTAATGTTCCACTCGGACAGTATGAATGGAATGTAATGCCTTTTGGCCTAAAAAATGCTCCATCTGAATTTCAGAAATCATGAATGATGTATTTAATCCCTACTACAAATTTATGATTGTGTATATTGATGATGTTTTAGTCTTTTCTGATTCATTAGATCAACATTTCAAACATCTTCATACTTTTATCAATACTATCAAACATGCTGGTTTAGTAGTTTCTGCAAAAAAGCTCAATCTGTTCCAAACCAAAATCCGATTTCTAGGACATAACATTAATCAATGAACAATTATCCCAATTGATAGATCAATTTTATTTGCTGATATATTCCCCGATAAAATATTAGACAAAACTGAATTACAAAGGTTTCTAGGATGTCTTAATTATATTAGTAATTTCTATCAAAATCTTGCCATAGACGCCAAACCTTTATATGATATGTTAAAAAAGAATCCTCCACCATGAACTGAGATCCATACTTTGGCTGTTCAACGTCTTAAACTTAAAGCCAAAGAATTACCTTGCTTAACACTACCTAATCCTACTGCTTTTAAAATTATTGAAAGCGATGCCTCAGAATTAAGCCTCGACGGTATACTAAAACAAAAATGTGAGTCCACCGAACAATTAATTCGTTTTACTTCAAAAGCATGGAATCCTACACAAAAGAATTATTCCACTGTGAAAAAAGAATTACTTGCTATAATACATTGTGTCACTAAATTTCAAAGTGATGTTTTGAATCATCATTTTCTCATCCGAACTGACTGTAAAGCTGGTAAGGATATTCTGCAAAAGGATGTTCACATTCTTGTTTCTAAACAAATCTTTGCCCGCTGGCAAGCTATTTTATCTGCTTTTGATTTTTCTATTAACCATCTTCACGGCTTTTCTAATTTCTTACCTGATT